CAGCTCTCCTTATGTAGGCTGCTGTAATCAAAGCACACCGACTTAGCTGTGTTTTGCCCATATGTTCCAGTTGCCTCTGTCTTTGCTCTCCAGTTGTATGTGACTTGTCTGTAGAAGTTGCTAAACTCTCCTGCTTGGAAGAGGATTGGAATTCTGGCAGGCAAAATGTGCCTTGGGCAAGGGCATCTGGCCTCGATGTAGTAAACCTTCTTATCTCCATGCACTGGGATTTGGGAAACACCCCTTGTCTCTGCTTACCCACCAAACTTTTTCCAGTGGTCAGCTTAAGCAGTGGGGGTGAAACTGGGTTTCCAGTGGGAACGCAGCAGAACATCACCTGGTTCTGGAGGAGCTTCCTACTTTTTTTGTCCCAAATGTGTTTTCCTTGGCAGGCTAAAGAAATCCTTACAAAAGAATCAAATGTGCAAGAGGTACGCTGCCCCGTCACCGTCTGCGGGGATGTCCACGGGCAGTTCCACGACCTCATGGAACTCTTCAGGATCGGTGGCAAGTCTCCAGACACAAACTACCTGTTCATGGGAGACTACGTGGACAGAGGCTATTACTCAGTGGAGACTGTGACTCTGCTGGTGGCGCTGAAGGTACGGCTTGAGAGATTGGGAGCCCAGCCTGGGAGCTGAGAACCATTTTCTCCGGAACGGTTTTCTCCTCCTGGTGACGGTCGAGCGTAACGGGTGTAAATGGATCCGTGCCGGTGGACACGTGCCGGGAACAGAGCGCTTGGCTGCTGTTTGTGATATTCCATTACTCTTAGTTTCCATGCCTGTGCTAAGGGAGGGTTTTCTCCGCCCCCAGGTGCGGTACCCGGAGCGCATCACGATACTGAGGGGCAACCACGAGAGCAGGCAAATCACACAAGTCTACGGCTTCTACGACGAGTGCCTGCGCAAGTACGGCAACGCCAACGTCTGGAAGTACTTCACAGACCTGTTTGATTACCTTCCACTCACAGCTCTAGTAGACGGCCAGGTAAGTCTGGGAGAAGGAAATCCCTCCCTTCCATAGATTTCTGCAGGCTGTGTTGTCCGACATCCACAGGAACAGTCCCAGACAAGCTCCTTTAACTTGTGATCCGAGGGCGAGATTGGACGGGGTTGTGAATGAGCAGACATTAACAGAGTTAAACGCAGCTGGTTTGGAGATCATTCTTCCCTTAACAATATGCACTTAATGGATTGCTCTTTTCTTTCTGGAACAGATATTCTGCCTCCATGGTGGCCTCTCTCCATCCATAGATACACTGGATCATATCAGGGCTCTGGACCGCCTGCAGGAAGTTCCACACGAGGTAATAGGAAAGGAAATGCTTCAGAAATGTAAATATCTGCTGGTGGAAAATGAAGATGTTTTCTCACACTGCAGTCCATTTAAACACGTGGGTGCACATGAGTTATGGCCTTTCCAGGAGCTAGAGCAGATGAACATTTGGGCAAAACACAGCTAAGTCGGTGTGCTTTGATTACAGCAGCCTACATAAGGAGAGCTGTGGGTGTTCCACATTTGTTTTCTCCAGAATCGTGGGATTTTTGGGTTTTCAGTCTGACTCAAAGAGCAGGATTTGGCAGGGGAGGGTGTTTACTATCTTCAGCCTCATCACAGATGTGATTGTGAACTGACAACCACCATGAGAAGCCACAATGTGTCACCATCCTTCCTCCCCAGCCAGCCCAGCCTCCTGGGGTGTTTCACTTTGTTATAGCTTCCCGGGGTCTGCAATCTGGGCTGTAAAACCAGGCTTGGAGCTCCCGGGGCAGCTGGAAGTTGTGTTGGGAGTGCTTGGGGCTCGCAGATGTGTGTTCAGTAAACTCCTGGCGTGCCTCACACCGAGAAGGACGTGCTGGCAGTCCTGCTGCTGTCAATAAAATGTGTTTAAGCACCTTGCCAGTGATCTAACAAAGAACTCCTCGTGTTTCCCAAGGGTCCGATGTGTGATCTGTTGTGGTCGGATCCCGATGACCGCGGCGGCTGGGGCATTTCTCCACGTGGTGCTGGCTACACCTTTGGGCAGGATATTTCGGAAACCTTTAACCACGCCAATGGTCTCACACTGGTCTCCCGCGCTCACCAGCTGGTCATGG